TCTTCATCTGGATCTCCCACATTGGTAGCATTTGCCCAAGTATTTGGATCATCTTCCATTGCTTTTCTCAGGCCATCAGCAGGAAGCTGGATCAAAAGCAGAAGAGCCAGAACATGACCCAGTGCTCATATGGGGTGCTTGTATTGCAGATGGCAGGTTTACTTGCTATGTGACAATGCTGGCCCTGTTTTATGGGAACTTCCAAATGAAATTTTGAAGTTGTATGCATTGTAGTTTGCATGTAATTCAACTTTCTGCCATACTTACTGATATATATCAGCATTTGATGTAGGACAAATCAGAAAACACAATGGCTTAACAAATAGCCATTTGATTTGCAGTTCAGACTCTGTGTTATGGGCTGTACTCAGCTGGGCAGTTCCTATGATCAGTCCAGGAGCAGAAATGAGAGTTTAGTCATTTGGGGAACTGATTGAGGCTTCACTTAAGTGTCTGGGGTTTGTGGTGAATCTTGGCTATATATTATCTTTTTTTTTCTTTTTTTGACAGGCAGAGTTAGTGAGAGAGAGACAGAGAGAAATGTCTTCCTTCCATTGGTTCACCCCCCAAATGGCTGCTATGGCCAGCATGCTGTGCTTATCCAAAGCTAGGAGACAGGCACGTCCTCCTGGTCTCCCATGTGGGTGCAGGGCCCAAGAACTTGGGCCATCCTCCACTGCCTTCCCAGGCCACAGCTGAGAGCAGACTGGAATAGGAGCAACTGGGTCAGAACCAGCACCCCAACTGAGACTGTCACCTGGAATACCAGTGCCACGGGCGGAGGATTAGCCTAGTGAGCCATGGCACCAGCCTACATACTATCTCTTCAACAGGCAGGCCCCAGGGTTTTTCAGAAGATAACTGTCAGAAAAAGAAAATCTGAGAAGGCAAATACTTTACAAATTGTCTATTTCTGGGGCTGGTTCTGTGACATAGCAAGTAAAGACACCACCTGCAGTGCCAGCATCTCATATGGGTGTCAGTTCATGACTCGGCTGCTCCACTTCTGATCCAGCTCTTTGCTACAGCCTGGGAAAACAGTAGAAGATGGCCCAAGTCCTTTGGCCCCTGCTCCCTTGTGGGAGACCTGAAAGAAGCTCCTGGTTCATATCTTTGGATCTACACAGCTCCAGCCATTGCAGCCATCTGGGGAGTGAACCTGCAGTTCGAAGACCTCTCTTTATTCCTCCTTCTCCCTCTCTCTCTCTCTCTCTCTCTCTTCTCTGCCTCTCCTTCTCTCTTTGTGTAACTCTTTCATATAAATAAATATTTTAACAAATTATCTATTTCTATCACATTTACTGGTATCTCATGGGGTAAATCAGTTGAAATGGTGAAATTCATGGTCTTTTTCAAAAATATTTATTTATTTATTTGAAAGAGTTACACACAGAGAGAGGGAGAGGCAGAGAGAGAGATAGAGAGCTCTTCCATCTGCTGGTTCACTCCCCAGTTGGCTGCAATGGCCAGAGTTGTGCCAATCCAAAGCCACGATCCAGGAGATTCTTCTGGGTCTTCCACATGGGTACAGGGGCCCAAGGACTTGGGCCATCTTCTACTGCTTTCCCAGGGCATAGCAGAAAGCTGGATCAGAAGTGGGGCAGCTGGGAATCAATCCAGTGCCTATATGGGATGCCAGTCTGCAGGTGGCAGTTTTACCCACTAGGCCACAGTGCCAGCCCCAATCCAGGGTTTTGTGAAGGGATGAATACAGGGAAAGGTGCTACTTGGAATCATTACTGGTAAAGTGCACTGCATTAAATATACATTATGTGTATTTGTTAAATTTCTTTAGTATAAACTTTAATAACAACATAATGTTTATCTCTGATAACCTTATTCATTTGAACACTCAACTTTTCTTTTTACTTTCACATTATTATTTTACAAAATTTGTAGATAATGCTTTTGTTAAACCAATGCTAACTTCTGTATAATCTCTGCTACTTAATATAGGTGGATGCATTTTCCTATGTATTTCTATTTTTACAGGATTATTCCTCCACAGTGAAGCTGATGTTTTCTTGGTTAATGTATTTATTATTCTTTATTCATTCTATTACATCCTTTTTTTCCCACTGTTCAGTGCAGAAGGAAACCAGAGTTGTTTCTTTTTTTTTTTTTTTTTTAAGATTTCATTTATTTATTGAAAGAGTTGCAGGGAGAGAAAGTCTTCTATCTGCTGGCTCACCCTCCAAATTACTGCAAAGGCTGGAGCTCAGCCGATCCAAAGCCAAGACCCAAGAGCTTCTGGGTCTCCCATGCAGGTGCAGTGGCCCAGGGACTTGGACCATGTTCCACTGCTTTCTCAGGACATAGCAGAAAGCTAGATTGTATGTTGAGGAGGCAGTACTCAAACCAGAACCCATATGGAATGCTGGCACTGAAGGCAGCAGCTTTACCCATTATGCCACAGCGTTGGCCTCTAGAGTTTTCTTTGAACTCCTGCCATTCACCTTCTCTCCCAGGTATGATTCTGGGTCCTCCACATGTTTCTAAGAGGAAAGAAAATTAATATATCACCTGTAAGTGTTTTTTTTTTTTAATTATTCCCCAGCTTGTCAGTACTCATTTTAGGTGTTTAATGCTAGTTTATTTATTTATTTTTTTAGTTTTTTTTTATTTATTTGAAAGTCAGAGTTACAGAGAGGCAGAGGGGGAGAGAGAGAGAGTCTTCCATCTGCTGGTGCACTCCCCAGATGGCCACAGTGGCCGGAGTTGCACTGGTCCAAAGCTAGAATTGAAGAGCTTCTGGGTCTCCCACATGGGTTCAGGGGCCCAAGGACTTAGGCCATCTCCTACTGAATTCCCAGGCCATAGCAGAGAGCTGGATTGGAAGTGAAGCCACTGGGACTTGAACTGGCACCAATATGGGATGCCAGCACTGAAGGCAGTGGCTTTACCTGCTAGCCACAGTGCCAGTCCCAGTATACTAGTTAATTAAAATGGAAAATATGGGGCTGGCTCTGTGGCTCAGTGGGTTAATGCCCTGGTCTAAAGCATCGACTTCCCATATAGGCACTGGTTTGAGACCTGGCTGCTCCACTTCTGCTCCAGCCCTCTACTATGGCCTGGGAAAGCAGTGGAAGATGGCCCAGGTCCTTGCGCCCCTGAACCCATGTGGGAAACCCAGAAGAAGCTCCTGGTTCCTGGCTTCAGATTGGTGCAGTTCCAGCCATTGCAGCCAACTCCTCTCTCTGTGTAACTCTGACTTTCAAATAAATAAATAAATCTTTACAAAATTTTAAAATAGAAAAATAAACATAAAATTTGTTATCACAGAATATACAGAAATGAATTATGAATTTGGCATGATTATGAAACATTACTGTCATCTATAATAATGCAGTTTGGTCTCTTTCTGTTGCTATAGCAAAATATATATTTGTTACATGAATTGAGTTGAAACTAAGCACAATATGCTACATTTTTGGGGTCATGTCTGAAACATTCTACACATAGATGATGTACTGAACAGTGTTTTAGTGCTACCTATGAAGTAAACACTTAGCATTCTGCAAGAGGAAGAGTTACCTAGTGCTAAAACACAGATAAGTTTGTTTTCAAATTGTTAGAGTAATAGAGTCCTTAATACCTTTGAGAAGCTGAATTGGATTCTGGAATAGGATAAGGAATGTGTGGAGAAAAGAATCTACTGGAGGCTCATTTATTTTTTTAAGATTATTTATTTGAAAGGTGGACTTGCAGAGATTGGGAGAGACAGGGAGACAAAAGGATATATCTTCTATCTAGTGTTCATTCCCCAAATGCCCACAATGGCTGGGACTGGGCCAGGCCAAAGCCAGGAGCCTGGGACTCCATGGGTCTCCCACATTGGTGGAAGGGTCCAAATACTCAGGCCATTTTCACTGCTCTTTCAATCAGATTAGCAGGGAACTAGATTGGAAGTGGAGCAGCAAGGACTCAAGTCCTCTGTTTACATGGGATGCCAGCATTGATGGTGGAGGCTTAGCCTGCTGGATCACAATTCTGGTGACTATTGCAGGTTCTGAAACGAATCTCTAAGCATTTTTCTCAGTGAGTCACAAATGCAGATTGTACTGCAGACATTCCCAGGTTCTCTTTTTGGGCAAATAATTCCATTGCTTTCATTTAATTATGTATAATGTCATTTCAAATGTTTATCATTTGAATGCTTTGGGCAAGTATTTCCATTGCTTTCACTTTAATTAGGTATAATGTTATTTCAATTGTTTATCAGTAGAATAATCATAGACAAGGGCAAAAGCTAATTTGTATTCTTTATCTTACCTGTATTTTCTCTTTTACTTAAAAAAATATTTATTAGCTTGATAGAGAAAAAAGTTGATGGACTGAGAGATAGAGAACTTTGATACTTTAATTCACTTCCTAGATAACCATACCAAACAGGTGGGGCAGGACTGAAGCCAGGATTGAGGAATGGAATCTAGGCCTCCTTCATTGGTGACATCACCATTGCTTCCCCAGGTTTGCATTATCTGGGAGCTAGAAACTAGAGCTGGCATTGGAAATCATAGACACTCTGAGGTGGCATCATAAACAACACTAAGCTAAATGTCTGCCCTGTCTTTTAATATATTTTTTCTCTGACATATTGGAAATGATATGCATGGTGTTTTCCTGGAAATTGTTTTCTGTTCATTCCCATCGTAGTTTCACTGATGGTTTCTTGCCTTTTTTCTCAATGCTTCTACATACTTCTCCTTAACATTGCCCAGTCAAGAGTCAGTATTGCCCCTCTTCTAGCCTGCTGTGCAATTCCCTTGACAGATGTGGCCTTTGTGATTTGAACCTCCTGTTTCCCTCCAGCTTGGGCATGTCTCACAGCCTGTAGATCATGGGTTTGACTCTGTTGAATGCTCCAGTGTGGCTTTCTAAACACTCCACAAGTCTAATGTGAAACCATATCCTTCCTTTTTTCCTTCATATCCATACACAACTGTCAGTGTTTATTTTGTGACAGAGTTAACATGTTGACTGGAAGTGTATTATTATAGGTGATGACAGCATTTGAAGACCTGGCTGTGTACTTTACATGGGAAGGAATGGCAGAAAATGAACAATGCTCAGAAAATCCTGTACAGAGATGTGATGCTGGAGACCTACAGCAGCCTGTTCTCCTTGGGTGAGTGACACCCATCACATGCCCAGTGATAACATTTTCTTGCTATTTGACAAATAAGGGAACACTTTATAATGTTTAATATTGGGCAGGATTAGAATTTGAGTCCATGAATAATCCGAATATCTACCATCTAACAAAAGATTCAAATTGGAACATTTGTTGCATAGCTCCTGAACCAAGCTGTAGTCCTTTAAATAACCCAAGATAGTGATTTTACAAAGTCTTACTTTGTTTCCATTAATAGGGCACTGCATTACCAAACCTGACTTGATCTTCAAATTGGAGCGAGGAGAAGAGCCATGGATCGTGGATGAATGCTTGAATCTGAGCCTTTCAGGTCAGTCTGCACATAAGAGACAGGGAGGCCAAGGCAGAAAGTGTGCAGATGTTGACTGGTGTTCTTTCCATGAATTTTTCTCAAGCCTTACTCCTGATGACAGCTGGTTTTGTGCATCAGACACAGGCATTTAGAGATACCAATATCTTTCTAACTTTTGTTCTTAGTGAAGATGTTCTTTGATTTCAAAAAAAAAATCCAGTCATTTTCTGATGTTATTAAGGCTTTTATCTAGGTTTGATACATTCCCCCGATTCTAACTTGTCCTTCTCTACACTTTCATACCTTTTCCTTCATGCACTTATTAGTTCCTTCAGTGCTTGTTAATTAGGCAACATACAGAAACTTATTTTTTTTTAGGATTAATTTTTCTGTGTGGTTTTTTTTTTTTTTTTTTTTTTTGACAGGCAGAGTGGACAGTGAGAGAGAGAGACAGAGAGAAAGGTCTTCCTTTTGCCATTGGTTCACCCTCCAATGGCCACCATGGCCGGTGTGCTGTGGCTGGCACACCATGCTGATCCAAAGCTAGGAGCCAGGTGTTTCTCCTGGTCTCCCATGCGGGTGCAGGGCCCAAGGACCTGGGCCATCCTCCACTGCACTCCTGGGCCACAGCAGAGATCTGGCCTGGAAGAGGGGCAACTGGGACAAAATCCAGCACCCCGACCGGGACTAGAACCTGGTGTGCCGGTGCCGCAGGTAGAGGATTAGCCTATTGAGCTGCCATGCCAGTCTGTTTCTGTTTTTTTTTTTTTTTAAAGATTTATTTATTTATTTGAAAGTCAGAGAGAGAGAAGAGGGAGAGGCAGAGAGAGAAAGAGAGGTCTTCCATCCACTGGTTCACTTCCCAATTGGCTGTTGTGGCTGGGTCTGTACTGATCTGAAGCTAGGAGCCAGAAGCTTCTTCCAGGTCTCCCATATGGGTACAGGGGCCCAAGTACTTGGGCCATCTTCTACTGCTTTCCCAGGCCATAGCAGAGTGCTGGATCAGAAGTGGAGCAGCTAGGACTTGAACTGGTGGCCATAAGTGATGTTGGCACTGCAGGTGGTGGCTTTATGCTATGCCACAATGCCAGCCCCCAGAAACTTATTTCTAACTCATTGCTCAGATTGAATTCCTAGTCATGATTTTGTCCAGGCATAGAACTTGCTCAGGACTGAATCAATAAATGTGAACTCTCTCTTAGTCTCTTTCTTTTTTTTCCTCTGTGCCTCTCAAATAAATAAGAAAATTACAGTCTGTTGGAAACATTTGAGGAATAAGCCTACAGTTGGCAAACCTCTTTTTCAGTCTGTCTTTATCTCTCATTCTGTCTCTCTGACTCTCAAGTAAGTAAATAAGTAAATGCTAAGAGATGGTCATGTGGCTGGTGCTGTGGCACAGTGAATTAACACCCTAGCATGAAGCACCAGCATCCCATATGGGCACCAGTTTGGGACCCAGTTGCTCCACTTCCAAAAGCAGTAGAAGATGGTCCAAGTCCTTGGTCCCCTGCACCTGAGGGAGACCCAGAAGCAGCTCCTGGCTCGTGGCTTCAGATCAGCACAGTTCTGGCCATTGTGGCCAATTGGGGAGTGAACCATTGGATCAAGACCTTACTCTATCTTTGCCTCTCCTCTCTTTGTGTAACTCTGACTTTCAAATAAATAAATAAATCTTTAAAAATAAAACATGGTCATGAGTAAGCCTCTGTGCTGTGACATCAGAAATTATGAAGCTAGGAATGACACTGTGGTGCAGTGTGTTAAAGCTCCAGCCTGTAGCACTAGCATTGCATATGGGTGCCAGTTCAAGTCCCAGCTAGTCCCCTTCTAATCCAGCTCTCTGCTAATGCACCTGAGAAAAGAGCAGAGGTTGGCCCAAGTCTTTGGCCCCCTGTACCCATGTGGGAGACAAGAAAGACACTCCTGGCTCCTAACTTCATTTTGGCCCAGCATTGGTTGTTGTGCCCATATGGGGAGTGAACCAGCAGATGGAAGACTTCTCTCTATAATTCTAGCTTTCAAATAAAGTAAATCTTTGAAAAAAAAGAAATCCTAAACTAAGCATGAACTTACATAAAACATGAAAATAAGTGATCCTAGACTCACCAAGAAAATACTGAGATTTTGAGACCCAAGGTCAAGTAGCCTCATGGGGTTATGTTGAGTGGCTCAGATTTCTTTAAGGGTGGAGTTTGAAGTATGATTTCTCTCTTATTTTTCAGTATCATTGAAAAATAAGCATACAAAAAGATAAGAAAAGCATAGGAAATGAAGCTTTCAGTGAAAATAGGAGGCAACTGATCAAAAGCCTCCAGAAATTCAAATTATCACACAGGAATGTTTCTAGAAAGAATCTAGAGGAGGTAACCAGCACTGATGATTTCAGAATGAGTTAGAAAACACTTTTCAAAGATGAGCAATTCCCGGTTTGCAGAAACAAATTCTTCAAACTGATTGGGAGTGTTTAACTAAAGTGGTATATTGGGAATTTTCTGTACCTGTTGTACTTCTGAGAAGCTGAAGGTGTTGGGTGTCCTTAGGAATTTGGGGAAGCTGTCATAGAGTAGAGACAAAGTAGTTTTTCATTTGAAAAATCCCACAAATGATGTTTACCTAGGAAGACTGAGCATGAGACACTCATAGATTCAAATCCTACTCCTTAAATGTTGTCCTGCTTAAAGTACAGGCACATTTCACTCTTCTCCACCTGCAAGTAAATGATCAGTAAAACTTTTTCATGTTTATGGTTGAGATATCAGAGAAGCAAAAAGCACACAATTTTTATAAAAATAAACTGGAGAAAAAGCACAAGGAAAAAAATGGTTGCTAGGTAGTGGGTGAATATTTTTATTAAATATTTGCCCATTCTTTAAAATATTTTATAGTTATTTCATCTTTGTGAAAGGCAGAGTGATAGTGAGAGAAGAGAGAGAGAGAGAAAGAGGTCCTCTATTAGCTCACTTCCCAGATGCCTGCAACACTTAGGTCTAACTAGTCTGAAGCCAAAACTCTAGAATCCCTCTAGTCTTCCCTGGTTTCTCACAGGTTCCCAGGCACATGAACCATTATCTGCTTCCTTCCAGTTTACATAGGCAGAGAGCTGTACTGAAAGCAGAGTAGCCAGGGCTCAAACCAACACTGTTTTGAGATGCAGGCATCCCACACATCATAGCACAAATGTCATTCTACCATCCTTAACAAATTCCCATAGTAAAAAGGATCATGTTTGAACATTGGGAAACCTCATGGTATATTAATGTATTAAGGAGAAAAACCATATAATGGTCACAAATAAGTACCTCATACTGATTTTGTGAACATCTTATGCCACTTGGATTACAAGTAACTTCATTCCCTTTACATGAGTATGGCAGGAGAAACAGTTACATGTGATTCAGTGACATGATTGCTTTTTTCTCATTTCAGTGGTCATGAAAAGGGATGACCTGATTAGGATCAACCAGGAAAGTCAGGACAAAAATCTGAATCAGGATTTTATGAAAAATAACAAGACATCAGCTCTCAAGAGAATTGAATTAAGAAAAACACTTAGTTTAAATTCAAGCCATGTTCCAACACTGATTATTAAAAAGGGAATCTATTCAGGATTGAAGCCTGAGGAATGCAATAAATGTCACACTGTGTATCCCCCCAGTGGGCCTGATCAACTACAGGCTGGAGAGAAATTTGATAACACTAAGATACCTGGAAAATCTCTCCAGTTCTGTGAGCCTCCTAGCCAGCTTGACAATATTCACATCATGAAGCAGCCATTTGGACCCACTGGACAAGCAAAAGTCTTCACAAGAAAGATGTTCTGTAAATCTGAGAGGGTTCATATGGCAGAAAACTGTAATAAGTCAACTGTCACTTTTGGAAAAGCAACGCAAGTAGAAAAAGCTATCCATGAAAATTCTAGCCTCAATATGCATCAACAAACTCACACAAGAAAGAAATTTTATAAGTACATTATGTATGTTGAACCTGTCATTCACCAGTCACATCTTACAATAAACCAGAGACTAAATACAAGGGAAAAACTTTACACATGTAAACCTTGTGGAAAATCACTCAGTTTTAATTCACCTTCTGAATGTAATGACTGTGGAAAAGCCTTTGGACAAAAGTCAGTCCTCAGGAAACAACAGAAAGTTCACAGAGGGGAGAAACCTCATGAATGTAGTGTCTGTGGAAAAGCCTTTGGACAAAAGTCAAACCTCATCATACACCAGCAAATTCACACAGGGGAGAAACCTCATAAATGTAATAACTGTGGAAAATCCTTTGGACAAAAGTCAAACCTCATCATACACCAGCAAATTCACACAGGGGAGAAACCTCATAAATGTAATGACTGTGGAAAAGCCTTTGGACACAAGTCAAACCTCCTCATACATCAGCGAATTCACACAGGAGAGAAACCTCATAAATGTAATGACTGTGGAAAATCCTTTGGACAAAAGTCAGACCTCATCATACACCAGCGAATTCACACAGGGGAGAAACCTCATAAATGTAATGACTGTGGAAAAGCCTTTGGACAAACGTCAGGCCTCAGGAAACATCAGCGAATTCACACAGGAGAGAAACCTCATAAATGTAACGACTGTGGAAAAGCCTTTGGACACAAGTCAGGCCTCAGGAAACATCAGCGAATTCACACAAGGGAGAAACCTCATAAATGTAATGACTGTGGAAAAGCCTTTGGACGAAAGTCAGAGCTCCTCATACACCAGCGAACTCACACAGGGGAGAAACCTCATAAATGTAATGACTGTGGAAAAGCCTTTGGACGAAAGTCAGACCTCATCATACACCAGCGAATTCACACAGGGGAGAAACCTCATAAATGTAATGACTGTGGAAAAGCCTTTGGACAAAAGTCAAGCCTCATCATGCATCAGCGAATTCACACAGGAGAGAAACCTCATAAATGTAACGACTGTGGAAAAGCCTTTGGACAAAAGTCAAACCTCATCATACACCAGCGAATTCACACAGGGGAGAAACCTCATAAATGTAATGACTGTGGAAAAACCTTTGGACAAAAGTCACACCTCCTCATACACCAGCGAATTCACACAGGGGAGAAACCTCATAAATGTAATGACTGTGGAAAAGCTTTTGGACGAAAGTCACACCTCATCATACACCAGCAAATTCACACAGGAGAGAAACCTCATAAATGTAACGACTGTGGAAAAGCCTTTGGACACAAGTCAGGCCTCAGGAAACATCAGCGAATTCACACCGGAGAGAAACCTCATAAATGTAATGACTGTGGAAAAGCCTTTTTCTATAAGTTATACTCATATCAAAACAATTCATACAGGGCAGGAACCTTATGAATCTAGTAAGTGTGGAAAAGCCTTTATAAATCATGTTGTGAATTCTGTGGTATGATATGAGCTATGATTTATAACATGGGAGAGACTTCATGAATGCAATGACTGTAGAAAAGCCCTTGGCAATGTCACATCTCAGAATGCATCAGAAAATGCACAGGAAGAGAAACCTTTTGGACATAATGACTTGGAAAGCTTTTTCCCATAATTCAGCCCTCATTGCACATCATCTAATTCATATGGGGGAAAACACTTCGGATATAATGCATATGGAAAAGCCTTTATCCATAAGTAACACCTCATAAAACATCAGAATTCACATGGGGGAGAAACCTTATGAATGGAATGAATGTTGGAAAACTCTGCCAAAATCACACAATATAACATCAGAGAATTTATTACATGGTGGAAATCTTGTAATAAATGTGGGAAAGCCTTTTGTCAGAAGGAATACCTCATAACATGTAGATCAAACAAGGGAGAGAACTTAAGAATATAATGAATGTGAAGGACTTTTTGCAAAATCAACATAACCATGTGACAGAGCCTTTTGCTGGAAATTACATCCCATACAATAGGCACTCCCATAAGGAAGAAAGGTTGGGACCAGCGCTGTGGCACAGTAGGTTAAAGCCCTGGCCTAAAATGCCTGCATACCACATGGGCACTGGTTCTAGTCCCAGTTGCTCCTCTTCCGATCCAGCTCTCTGCTATGGCCTGGGAAAGCAGTAGAAGATGGCCCTGCACCCACATGGGAGACCCAGAAGAAGCTCCTGACTCCTGGCTTTGGATTGCTGCAGCTCCAGCCATTGCATCCATCTGGGGAGTGAACTAGCAGATGGAAGACCTCTTTCTGCTTCTCTGTCTCTCTCTAACTCTGTCTTTCAAATAAAAAAATTAAATTGTTAAAAAAAATGAAGTTCAGAAATATTAGTGTGACAAAAAGCCATTTGTCAGAAATGGCATTATACATCAGAAAATTCACACAAAGGGTTTCTTAGGAGTGTAATGAATGTGGAAGTATATTTTCATAGAATTCAGGCTTGCATAAATATGCAACTCAAAAAAGGTGATATCCTTCAAGTGCAACAGACCTCAAAAAACCATAGCCAGAAATTAAACATCAGGCTGGCACCGTGGAGCAATAGGTTAATCCTCCACCTTCTATGCTGGCATCCATATAGGTGCCAGTTCTAGTCCCAGCTGCCCCTCTTCAATCCAGCTCTTTACTGTGGCCTGGGAAAGCAGTAGAAGACAGCCCAAGTGCTTGGGCCTCTGCACCCACATGGAAGACCAGGAAGAAGCACCTGGCTACTGGCTTCAGATCAGTGCAGCTCTGGCCATTGTGGCCATTTGAGGAGTGAATCAACAGAAGGAAGACCTTTATCTCTGTCTCTCTCACTGTCTGTAACTCTACCTGTCAAATAAATAAAAATCTTTAAAAAAAAGAAAACAAGAAATTAAACATCAACTAACATCAGAGAATTCATACAGTAAAATTTCAATTTAATGCATGTGAAAAAATTTTTCTGCCATTAATCAATTCACATGAAGAGACTCCAAAATGAGAAAACATACATGCATAGAAAAGTCATGTACCATGGCCATGGTGATTTCACTTTTATTGTAAGATCATCATCACCCCCAACATTCTGTAAGTTGCCCTGGAAACTGTCAGGTACACAGTGTCTCAGGGCCATTTTAGCCAAGGGTAATAATTCTTTCTCCTCAATGTAATATATATATATATATATATGAATATATGTAACATATATAACATACATATATTTTATACATAGATAAATTTGCCACTGTGTGTCTAGATACTAGTATATTTCCTGAAAATTATGCGGGAAAATAGTGGGATCTTAATGTGATTTTTATCCCAGAATTATGTATGTTTATTTAATTTTAGAGGTTGGTAGACTTGGAGACACAGAGAAACAGAGATTATGAGCTACAACTTGGTGGCTTACTCTTCATTCTTGTAATGATCAGAAACTGGATTATTACAGAAAGCTGAGCTATTCTTTTCTGATGATAAATACATTATAAACATTTCAAAAGGTTGCTCTATATATTTATATTATAAATTATATATATGTACATTTATATTGTAATGTCATAAATTAAACACACACACATATATATTATATATATAAACACCTTTAAAATTCTCCTTGTTATTGGTATAAATATTTTGAAATTTAAATATTTACTTCCTTTTAAAATTTTATTTAATATAAGTTTGATATATTTCATATATACAGACTAATGAAGTAAGTGACACTTCCCCTGATACCCTCCCTCCCACACACAGTCCAACCCTTTCTCTTCCCTCTCACATTCCCACTTAACTTTTACAAAATCTGTTTTCAGTTTACTTAATGATTGTATAGTTAACCCTACACTAAGTAAGAGTTCAACAAGTCAGCAAATAGTATGAAGCAAAAAAATAAAAAAAAAAATCACTGTTCCTCAATGGAAGAGACAAGGGCTCTAAACAATCATCAAATCTCAAAATGTGTATCTAACTCCAATACATTACATTTTAGGTACTCTATTAGCTACCTCAGATCAGGGAAAACATAGGATATCTGTCTTTCGGGGACTCGTTTGTTTTACTAAGTATAATGGTTTCCAGTTTCATCTATCTTGTTGCAAAAGACAGGGTTTCTTTTTCTTTCTTTCTTTTTTAATAACTGAGTAGTACGCCATAGTGTGTATATACCATAATTTTCTTATCAAGTCAACAATTGATTGATATCTGGATTGTTCCCAGATCTCAGCTATTGTGAATTGTGCTGCAATGAACATGGGGTTATAGATAACTCTTGCATATGCTAATTTCTTTTCATTTGGGTAAATTCCATGGAGTGGGATGGCTAGATCAAATGGTAGGCCTATAATCAGATTTGTAAGATATCTCCATACGGTCTTTCACAGTGGCTTGCACCAGTTTACATTCCCACCAACAGTGGACCAGGGTAACTTTTTTCCACATCCTCATCAGTTTTGTCATTTGTTGATTTCTTTATTTTTATTTATTTATTTATTTTGGATAGGCAGAGTTAGGCAGTGAGAGAGAGAGACAGAGAGAAAGCCTTCCTTCCATTGGTTCACCCCCCAAATGGCCACTACGGCTGGCGCGCTGCAGCCAGCATGCTATGCTGATCTGAAAGCAGGAGCCAGGTGCTTCCTCCTGGTCTCCCATGTGGGTGCTATTCTTTCTTCCCTAGTTCTGACTCTTTAAAATTATGGGATTTGATTCAATGCACCAGGTCTTAAATTTAAGGTTTTATTTCCTGACTTTTGAACAACCAAAGAGACAGATTCTGTGTTATTGTAAAGTAATCTACTATGTTCTCCTAATGCCTCTTAAGTTCTAATTGTTTAAAACAACTGAGTTTTAAAGGAGTTATGATTTGATCAAATCTGGCCCTTGGGCTAGATGGTGAAAGTGACATCTTAAGTTTTAACATATTTATATATATATATATATGATTAAGTTTAAAAGTGACTGTATTTGACTGCATTAAGTTTTAAATTGGTCATATAGGAGGCACTAATTGTTAAAGTGATCATATCAACAGAATTAAAGAGTAGTAAATGCTTCAACATGGGAAGCAGTCCGTACAGCAGACTCATAGAATGGCAATTGCTCTAAGTAACGCTCAATGACCTCAGAGTCATCCCTAAAGGCATTCTGGTCTGGCTAAAAAGCCCACAAGAGCATTTCAGGCATGGAAAGTCAGGACACTTGTGCAAAAAGGTGTGCCTACATGGAGAGTCTCCCTGGGTGAGACTCCTGTGGAAAGAAGTGGTCATCAAAGAAGGATGTACTCTCTTCAAAGGGAGAACTTTCACTTTGCTTACGGCCTTCCCTAAATATTGATGGAGTTTGTGGATTCAGAAGGCTTCCATAGCCTAGACAGTTCATGTCAAGAGCCTTGGGTGATCACTGACAGCACACAAAAGAGTGTAAATTGTGAAATTAACCATAGGAGTCACTGTGCACTAACTTCCCATGCAGGACCTTAAGACTATGCTTAAAAAACAGAGGGGAGAGTACGGTACCCCCACTATCAGTGTATTAACTTTGCTCCTTTCACCATAAAGTTCTTACAGGTCTCACCCCCTGGAGAGCCACCAGCAGTGAGACACTGGAGACCTTTCACAGGTGCAACCCAATTGCCTCTGGTTTGATGGAGGGACCCAACCACCCAACAATGGAAGGTGCCTGATCCCCTCATAATGATGGGCAAACATTTTGCTTGTGCTTTCCAGAGATCACTCTGCAGCCTGTGTGGATAGCAACGTGAAATGCCAAACCCTGGACCCAGTCTCTGAAAGCTGACCCTCTACAAACCAACTTCAGCACCTTTCCCTGAACAAGCCATTCATAGAAAGATCCTCTTCAGATGGGCTACAGCTTAAATGGAAGGGACCTTACCAGGTGCTACTGAACATGACTACCTCGGTAAAATTAGGATTAATGTCTACCTCGCAAGTCCTCACAGATGTACTCAAAAGACATGCCTGATTATTCCTGTAAGCCAGAGATCTTAAGCAAAAAGGAAAGTAAAGCCTTTGCTTTCCTCACATCAAGAGTGCTGCGCCTGAAGGCAGGCATGGTGTACCTGCCTCTTTGATTCTCTCTATTATTAACAATAAAACTCCTAATGTGTTCCTATAATTCTCTATACTCAAGCTAAATGGGTTTATAATATATCACCACCCACTATCTGGGAGTCTGTAGGATGTGGTCTTTTCATCTTAAAGGGGCACTCCATTTACAATTGGTCATGTTCCAGTTTTGTTCATACTAATTAACAAACATATGTTCCAGAACTCAACAACTTCTGGGAGTCACTGACCATGCAGGGGACACAGACATTGGTGGTGACCAAGATTGCTCCAGCTCACAGAGAGAATTTGTTAGATGAGATAGAGACTTCCAGACCGAGGACAGGCAGGGCCTGCACTACATCCCTCATAAACAGGAAGCAGCTATAGAAGATGTGATGATTCTACACCCTTCAACATCCCTAGGATTAAGGGAATGGAGTCTCTGAAGGGGGGATGATGCAGGCAGTCATATATCATTAGACTTGAGAACTGGAAGGCTACGCCTTCATCACACTGTCCCCAGCCCCTGTGTGATCTCATGCCCCTGCTTTCCCATACCTGTGCACCGCCTGCCAATTACAAAGGCCTGAAACATGGTGGGCCTGGCCTTTTTCCCTTTGCCCTTCTTTTCCTCCCTGCCCTTAATCCCCATGCTAGGCATTCTTCAATTTAATTTAAAGCTTATTGTGGGCTGCGGCTTGTTGCCCTGCCACACTAAGCAGAGTCACACTTGCCCTAAAACAAAGGGGGGAGATGTGGGTGATCCTGTGAGACTTTCTGCCTAGCCCATGTGGCTAGCCTGACTGATGGTGGGAGGTGGGAGCCTCAGGCACATTTTCTCCCACCCCCACCTTCTGCCAATTAGGTAAACTGTTGCTGGGGGTGCTTCAGGCCCACCTGGAAAGCTACCCTAACTATGAGACCTTCAAGCTAATTGGAGATGCTTATTGGTGCCAGTGTTGGTTCTATCCTATAGAGTTAGGGTTGCCCTGAATTAGTTATGCCCCTTCTGCCTGCCCTTTGAAAGGGTACATGGTCATTAATAAAGGTGGACATGTTCACTGAAGCCTGTCCCTGGTGCTTCCTGTGGAAGAACACCATTGCCTCACCCTCCCCGATGGTGTGGGCCTCACAGGACAAGTCCACAGCTCTTGGCCTGCTCCCTGCTTGGTATGGCCCCTACTTAATTTCCAGACTTTCCTTTCTCCTTTAGATAGAGCCCTCACTCTCCTATGTGTTTCTCTCACTGAATAAAAGCTTAAAAACTCAGCTTATCATCTGGTCTATTTGAGCCAGTATTCAGAATTTGTCTCTGAATTCATGGCAAGAACCCACACAGATTATTAATTTCAGAAATATTAATAAGTGCTGAAGTCTCAGGGCCTAATTATGGAGTCTTTTATTTCTAAAAGCCAGTGGCTGCACAGGGGCGTGTGCTCTCCAAATCATACTGCCCTCAAGGAGCTCAAGGTTAAGCTTCTAAAGGCCAAAACCATATCTTGAAGTTAATTACAAAGCCAAGCATTTGTTACAGGAGCTAGAGCAAGCAACATTATGCTTATCTTGGGGATATTAACAAGTTTCCCAGTACTTAATGTAAATAAACTTACAAAAAACCTCTCAGAAGATTAGTTTTTGAGTAGCTAGCAGTTGTGGGACTGGTTAGAAAAAAATAGAGGACAATCAGGGACAAAATGGAGTGACTCTGGTCAGGCCATAGATCATTTGCACTTGAAAATCAGTAAAACTTTAGCCTGAGGATCTGCAGCACCTCCTGCATGGACCCAGAGGCCCCTCTGACTTTGACCACCTTGACCTCAGCATGACCCCAGCATGGCTCCCCATTCTCTGTTACAGGAAACTGGGTTGCCAGCACACTGCAGAGAACAAGGAGAGTCCCATAGTGACAGAGGTGGATCCTGGAGCTGGAGTCTCTACAAGGGGCAAGGACCCATGGCAGTGTGGCCAGGAGTTCCCCATGTCTCACAGAGGACAGTGAGTGTGCCTCTGGTGGACTTCCTGTTGCAGGCAGAGGATTGCTCACTTCAGGACTGGTTACTACATGAATCATGCTGGCTGTGAGGCCTTAGCTCCATGCAAATTTTGGCTCATGCCTTGGCTGCCTAGAATTAATCTCAGACATGGTGAAGCAGGCCCCACAGCACTGCTCAGTGCATGGCATGGCCTCTGTCAGCAAGGATAGTGTCAACATAAAGAAGCCACACCACTGCCCCTGAGCCAAGCTCCCAAAAGCACTTGTCTATCCCGATGTCTGAACACCAGCCTGTTTTCATAATCAATTTCATTGTGACAGGATGAAGACGTCCATAAAACTGGAGAAAAAGTGGGAAAAACTAATGTAATTCTACACACTTTTCAAAAGACAAAGAAGAAGAATACATCCGGACTAATCCAAAATGCAAACATTATCCAACTGCAATGACTGAAGAAATCAAATTTCCACATGAGCAATAATATAAAAATCAAACTAAATTTTGAAACAGGATATTCTTCAATAGGTGAATGTATGAGTAGACTGTGTTGTATCTCTGAGAGACCTGAGCCTGGATCAAGGCACAGCTATTTTAGAATAGGCCTCCATCTTGTAACTCGGGCCTGACCGGCCCTGAACCCTGAAGCTCATGAAAGAAAAAATAAATAAATGAACTCCCCTTGCAATAAACCCCACCTAGCAACAGCCAATCATCAGATAGCAGGGAGATACCTAAAGTTTCAGGTGTCTTTTCAGGCACTTAAGGTAATTGATTAATATCCTGAGACCCTGCAGTTTGGCACATATACCCTAGTGGCTCAGACCCTATACTTTAGCCAATCATTTTAAAAGGCATCAACCCCAAAAGCCATCCCACCACTTTTAATAGGTCCCAGCCTGCCGCTGGATGCACTAATCAATTTTAAGAGATGTTCTTTAAATTTCCCATGGAATGAGATGATTTGCTGAATGGTGCTAAAATGTATAGATTGTCTCTGAAAACCCTATAAAAACCCCCTTCACTGAAGTTGGGGCTTTCAACCAGACCCAAGGCATCAGTGATAGTTGATCACCCAAGCCCAGACCTGCAATAAAACTCATGTGTTTTACAACAGTATAGGCTCCTTGGTGGTCTTTGGGGACAATCTAAGTGGGCATAACATATCATACAAAAAATTTTATTGCTAAAGGAAATGAGCTCACAAATCATGTGGTCCATTAGCATTTTATACCACATCCTGTTTCAACAGCCTGAACATGCAGATGAATATCTGTGAGATGGGATAACTTCAGTCAGAGTAAAGTTAAGTTTCAAGATAAAATCTGGGACCTGGCACTGTGGTGTAGTGGCCTAAGCCTCTGCCTACAGTGCTGTAATCCCATGTGGGCTCCAGTTTGAGTCCCTGCTGCTGCACTTCTCATCCAGCTCTCTCCTTTGGCCTGGGAAAGCAGTGGAAGATGGCCCAAGTCCTTGGGCCCCTGCACCCAGGTGGGAGACTCGGAATGAAGCTCCTGGCTTTGGATTGGCCCAGTTCTGGCCATTTGGGGAGTGACCAGCAAATGGAAGATCTTTCTCTCTGTCTCTCTTTTTCTCTGTCTGTAACTCTACCTGTCAAATAAATAAATAAAATCTTAAAAAAAAAGATAAAATCTGCCTGATTTTTTTTTTGGACAGGCAGAGTTAGACAGTGAGAGAGAGAGAGAGAGAGACAGAGAGAAAGGACTTCCTTCCATTGGTTCACCCCCCAAATGACCACTACCTTCCTGGGCCACAGCAGAGAGCTGGACTGGAAGAGGAGCAACCGGGACAGAACCGGCACCCCACCTGGGAATAAACCCAGTGTGCTGGTGCCACAGGCAGAGGATTAGCCCAGTGAGCCATGGCACCAGCCTGAGTAGTAGTTTTACAATTAATTCACATAGTACAACATATTGAGGACAGAGATCCTACATGGGAAGCAGGTGCACTGTGATTCCCATTGTTGATTTAATAATTGACAGTCTTGTTTATGATGTCAGTAATCACTCAAGGCTCTTATCTCGAGCTGCCAAGGCTATGGAAGCCTCTTGAGTTCACAAATTCTGATCTTATTTAGATAAGGCCATAATCATAGTGGAAGTTCTCTCCTCCCATCAGAGAATGGTATCTCTTTGATGGCCCATTCTTTCTGCTGGGATCTCACTCACAGAGATCTTTCATTTAGCAACCTGGTTATTTTTAAAGTAACAAGCTGATATAAGTGCATATGAAAATGCAAAGAATCTAGGATAGCCAAAATAACTCTGAAAAAATAATAAAATCAAAGGGATGATTTTTAAGTGTTATAAATTTATACTAACCTGAAGTGTGCTGTTGTCATACAGAAAGCCAGATGACTGGAACACAAAAGAGGTTCCAGAGAAGACCCAAACACAAACAGTGAACAGGTTTTCTACAGAGGCACTATTGCAGTGCAGGGGAGAAAGTATAGCATTTTCAACACTTGGTGTTAGCACAATGAGATACTAATTTCCAATAAAATAGCTTCTATTTACAAAATTGAAAATATGCCACAGATCTAACTGTAGTTCTGAAAACTACAATACTTCCAGAAAAAAAATCATAGAAGAAATTTTTTTACTTTAAGTTAGGCAAAGATTTCCTAGATACAAGAAAAAATTAAAATCTATAATTGAGTACAGGGATAATTTACACTTAATCAAAGTCTAAAACTTCTTTTCTTCAAGACTTACTTATTTATTTGAAAGGCAGAATTACAGAGTGGCAGATGCAGAGAGAGAGAGATCATCCATCTGCTGGTTCACTCCCCAGATGGCCACAATGACCAGAGCTGGGCTGATCTGAAGTCAGGAGCCAATAGATTCTTCTGAAGTTCCCATGTGGGTGCAGGAACCCAAGCACTTGGGCCATCTTCTACTGCTTTCCCTGGCTGTAGCAGTGAGCTTGATCAGAAATGGAGCAGCCAGGACTCAAAGTCATACCCATATGGAATGCCAGCACTGCAGGCAGCAGCTTTACCCACTATGCCATAGCATGGCCCCAAAAACTTCTTTTCAAAATGCTGTTTAACAGC